TCCCTGATTTAAAGTAATCACTCAAAACCGTAGACAACAGAAGAATATATGCCTCCAAAATGTCCTCATAACATAAATCCTTGAATGGCCAGCCACTTTGGAAGTGCAGGGCTTACCTTGAAACAACCCCTGCCCTAGCTCCTCAAAAAAGAAAAACTATCAATTTAAGAATTGTCTTAGCTTACATAAGTAGAATAGCAAGGTGTTGATTTCTTTCTCTTTAGAAAAAAGGAACTCTCTTTCATTCCAGACCACAATGTTTCATGTCTTACATTACAAGGTTTTGCAATTAAGGAGAAAAACATTTCTCTGCTCCTGAAAAACAAGAAAAGGAACCAATATGTCTGTTGCCCAAAAATCCCAAAAATTCTACATATATAAACAATGTCACATTTCCAAAGCACGTAGATTTCTTAAGTTCAGCAAACAGACTGTCTGTACTGCATTTACATAGAGCCATGTTCATTCATCATTTTCAAGTCTAATTACCAAGCCATTTCCCTTTTGGCAACCTGTAATGGCCAGAAGAATTAGGGTTTAAATGGTAGGATACCAAGGAATAACAAATACCCATAATTCTTTGCAGCTGCACAATTTGTTAGAGACTTAAGTTTTGAAAGGGGAAGGGATTACTTAGAAGCAAACATTCCTTCTTGCACACTGCTGTATCTGGAACTGTCATGTAGGCCTGGCCTTAATACAATCTTCTGCAAACAGTCATAAAATCAACTTTCAGAAACCAAGAGGGGGAAAAAAACCAAACAAAATCTATAAGGTAACGGAACCTAACGTTAGTCAGAACCACAGAATGACAGAAAATATCTACTACATCAGCTGGTTTGCTACTCCGCCAATGCAGGACTGCCCCTTGTTGTACATTAACTTGTAGTCTGTCCAATTTTGTTCAAAATGGGCAAAGCAATAACCTGACACTGCTTCTACCATATGCTAGTTCAAAGCACAGTAGATCTTCCTATCAAAAACAGTTTTCCTTGGTGTGAACAGAAATTTTCCCTTTCTTTTCCTATTTTAATTCCTTCTGCTGATGATAACTGTTCATAACTCCTCAGTACTTCCTCCCTATCATTATTTACAGGCTTTACATATTTGTAGACTGATTTCCTCTCCTTTACATTTACTTATGAATACATCTTAAAAACAAATTCTTTCCTTAGGACTCAATCCATCTGACAAAGAAGTTCTTTAATTTATCAATATGGTTTGGATAAAGAATATTCCAGGGAGGGGTAAGCATGTAGCCCAGCAGATATGAAACATTTCTTGATCAATGACCTCACATGCTTTTCTGAACACAGCACAGTTTACATTTATCTTCCCCTATTGCCCTGCTAAACACATATGCAATATCTTTTTTAGCCATCCTTAAGTCTTTTTTGCCTCACTGATTTCCAAATTTCTCCTTCCTACTGATTTCTCCTTACATTATTTTTCCCCCAGATGTTTAGGATTAATTTATTTTCAAATTATATCACATTATGACATATTCAAACACATTTCTAATCTTTGCATGTTATTCCCATTTCTTCCCTGATGTTCACAACTCCTCCAAATTTATTACCACCAGTAAATTGAAAAAAATGTGCAGTTGATTTCTTCTAGACCCTGTAATACGCTACAATTTGGTACTATGCCATCTATCGCTTCCTGTTGCTTATGGTCCCTTTGCCAAGTCTGAATTGTGAATTACTTCATTTTTTCTAACTAATGACTTAATAACAGAGACATACAAATACAGCATAATAACCAACAAAACTCCTGAATTTATTTGCCAACTATACCTTGGTGGCCCTTGAAAACATGCCACTTTAACAAGCATTAGTTCAGGTTCCCCTGGTGCTTTCATCATTCCCTTCTGATTCCTTACATTAGCTATAGAATTCAACTGAATTATTAATGTATCTAAATGAAATATTTATCTGATTATTCAAAACAATCTTTTAAAGGCCACTTAATAGTTTAGTATATTTTTTCATGTGTTTTTCATTTATTACTGTATACTATAAAAGTACGCTTGCTCTTAAGTATATTTTTTAAGTTAATCCAACTTTACTAAGTGGATATATCTAAACCGTTTTGTTGTAATATTACACCATGAATCAGAATTACCATAGGGAGGAGTGTTGGGTTATGTATTCAAACAAGGATTAACAATGTGCAAATTAGTGAGACAGTGACAATGCAGTACTATGGATATTAATTTAATGTCTCCACTTATACTAAACAGACTGTTTAGTGGCCTCCATGAAAAACTAGAACCTAAGAATTTCTAAAACTAAATCCCAGCTTTTCTTGCATCAGTCAAGTCAGTCTCTACTTCAATTGCACCCCCTCCACTCCATATAAGTATTAGTTAATTGTAAGTATTATAAGCATTATAATTATATTATAAGTATAAGTTAATTATGTTTACAAACTGTTTTGAGGATTAAAAGTACAATACAAATACTAAATACTAATCTGTTTGTATATACTTATTTTAAATTAGGCATAGAACTACACAGCTTAACAGTTTACAACGCCGTTTGTGTACTATGTGTATGAAAATACACTGCTGATGCAGATATGTCATCCAAGCATCAGAATAGGTTGCCTGACTGCAAAACCTTGAAATATAGCTCATGATATACAGATGAAAATGTAATAAATTGCAATCAGAACTAAAGAGGAAGAAAAAGTCCTACAAAATTCGTACCAGAGTGTTTTGTCTTGCCAAGACAGAGAAAACCTCTTCAATCTACCAAGGGAACAGGGAGACAATATAAACAGGTGTTTCCTTGAAAAGTTTGGTATGGCTAGTAATAGTACAGGAAATGGATCTCCAGAGGCTGCAAATCGTTAGCATCTCTAATGCATTTGGAAATTCCTACTGTGCAAAATCAGCCTGTAAAAACAGGTCATTTCTAATAAGTGCCTTGTCTGGTTTCCTCCACCGTTTAATTTCAGATGAATTTTATGAGAACTCTGCTACATATTTCACCTCCCATCTGGTTCAGATTTGACAATGAAATATTTGTGTGTCCCACCCTGTTCTTTTTTAAAGCTCCAAAAACAGATGTCTCCAGCAGGTCATACTACATTCTTGAGCAAGCTGTGCCAGGGCTATTTTTCCCCCCTCCAGGTAAGGTGAAGTCGGGTTATTTATCCCCTAAAAAGAATATAGAAAGCCCCAGTGCCTGAAGGCATAGAACTAAAAGGCTAGTTGAAAACCCACTGTGCTTTCTTCTTCAAAAAAGTTTCATCTAGATGAAGCAGTATGTTAACATGTTAAACATGTTAACAATTCCACCATGGATAGATTTTTTATTTTGGCTCAATTCCAAGACAAATTTTTGTAAAGTCTATTGTGATAAGCAGGTTGGTGGTTCTATAGCTATAGTTCAGTACTGTTCAACCATGTGTGCATATTTTGTACTTAAAAAAATTATTTTCTGAGTGGAAATCTTGTATTTCTGTCAACTTTTGCTGTCTCAGTGGAAAATAATTTATTGCCTATACTTGTAAGCAGAGAGCTTGCCGCCTTGCTGCTACTGTAGTTTTCCCACAAACCCTTTTTTCAACCCCAGACCTCCACTGCTGCCAGAATCCCATCCCTGGACTCATGGCCACCTGACCCTATGCCAACTATAGATCCATCTCCATAGTGGGTACCCCCATGCCTCATCCTGGATCTGACCTGAGAGGAGCCCTGCAGTCCAGATCTGACTCAGGGTCCTAGGTATGTCTGATACCCCTGAATTACAACAAGAAGTAAAAACTGCTATCCTTGTATAGCACAGCATTAGGCTTCTAGAGCCTTTTTGCTTTTGTGTAATTAGGGCAAAGCAAGATGTTATGAAATGATTGTTATATGTAGGGTCAGACCGGTGGGCTATCTAGCTCATATCCTGTCTCCAACACTGACAGCAGTAGAAGCTTGAGAGAAAGAGCATATATTCATGGCATATCTAATGTAATCCACCCTGTTACACCCTCCCTAGCCTCAACCATCATTGGTTCAGAGATGTCAGAGGATACATCCCCAACCCTTCAATTTAACAGCTATCAATGGACCTATGCTCCGTGGATCTAATCCAGTGATTTTCAATCTTCCTAGACTCAAGGCACCCCTGGATAAACACCCCTTAGGAAATGCTAGCTCTTAAATTTTCGCAGTTTTTTTGGCTACAGAAAAAATTAATAGATCAGTTTTTCTGTTACAAAGAACTAAGGCCAGAGCCATGGATTTCTATCTGGGTTTATTTTGTGAATCAGGTTTGTAAACCTAACAATGCTAACACTGTGTGGCACCCTGCAACACCCCTGAAAGGATCTCAAAGCATCCCAGAGTGCTATGACACCTTGGTTGAGAATCACCAGTCTAATTCTTTGTCTAGGCTCTTTTCAAACCTAGTTATACTATCCACCTCTACAGCCTTATATCTTTTCATCTTAGGCATTAAGGACATAAATGCTTCCAAATAAGTAATTAGGTCTCAATTCAGCAGAGTGCTTCAATACATATTTTGGATAGTCCCACTGACTGCAATGTCACTCTAGTAGAATTACTCCAAGGCTTAAATTTAGGCACATGCTCAAGTGCTTTGCATGATCAAGGCCTTCAAATGGTGCAGTGCAAATTCTGAGAAAAACAGACTTCAACAACAGGAACTCACCATAAAGTCAGACATAAGCAGTGGAAAAGAATAGTTAATAAATAGCATTTAGTCCAAGTTTGTCATTGCAGAGGATTAAAGGTCATGGACCTCATCTGCTGGCTTAGATTAATGATGTGAGAAAGGAAGAAGCTGCCACCTTACCCTCAGATGCCAAGTGGGACATGCTAGACTGAGGTCATTAATACCATCCTTCCCCTTGTAAAAAGAATACACTTAATATAGATTTCTAGATAAAGACAAAAAACTTGGAATCGCCGAAAAACATAAGCAGTTATTTATCAGAACAGAATGAACATTCAACATTTTTGTAACAATTATCCTTACCTCCCTCTTTCAACTGCCAAGGCATCTATTTCATCAAAGAAAAGAATAGAGGGAGCCACAGCTCTGGCTTTCCTGAAGATCTAGAAAAACAACAACACAAGTAAGGGGAAGAGAGGCATAATTGCTAGAATAGTGTTTGGTATTCAAACAACCCAATATATATCTTTTAAAATTAGACTTAATCTGGAGCTCAAAATTACATGTATAAAATCAGAAGCAACTGCCATCATAAGTCACATTAAAAAGAAAAATCCTAATTTTAAATAAAAAGAGCAAAAAACCCCAAAACTAAACAAAAACAACCCCTCTCTTTCTTGTGAAAATCTATGACTGAAGTAAGATTTTCTGTTAAATGCTTAGGCTTTACCAGACATAGTATTAGTGAAATTGCTGCTAAGACACAATACACCTCCACTCTCAACATGCGTCTTACCTCTCTCACTGCTCGCTCAGATTCACCAACATATTTATTCATCAGTTCAGGTCCCTGCACAACGATAAAAAAAAGGGCTTTTAAAAAGTTCAATCTGTTATGCAACGCTGTGAGTGCATCTAATGTGAAATTAAGGCAACACAAACTCCAGTGTCTACACATGCACCCATGACAGCAGCAGTTTGAGCCACACACAGCAGCCTCTGGCTGGCAGCAGGCTTGGAGCGTCAGCCCTGGGCTCTGGGTGGTGGTGTCAGGCAGTGGAGGGGCTAGCTAGGGCACAAGAGTGCTAAAGTGCAAAGTTTCAAGTTTCATAGTTGCATAGTAGCTAGGGTCAGGAGGGACCTGAACAGATCATCTAGCCTGACCCCCTGCCACAGGCAGGAATGAATGCTGGGTTCACAAGACCCCAGACAGCTGATCATCCTACCTCCTCTTGAATTTGCCCAAGGTAGGAGCGAGGACCACTTCCCTGGGAAGTTGGTTCCAGATTTTGGCCACCCTAACTGTAAAATATTGCCTTCTGATCTCTAACCTAAACCTACTCTCCATCAGCTTATTACCGTTGTTCCTTGTCACCCCAGGTGGTGCTGGGGAGAAAAGGGCTCTACCTATTTGCTATTGATCTCCCCTGATGAGTTTGTAGGCAGCCACCAGGTTGTGCAACAGACAGCCCCTATCACCCTCGTCACCATCTACATTGTCATGACCCAAAGGCAGGATTTTGTGTGTGCTTCAGCACCAGAATTATCCCTGCCAGGTTACAACTTCATTGCACGGGAGAGTTTCCTATTGCAGAGGAGAACCCCGGTGCAGGGACGAGTTTCCCGCCTCTTTGCAGCTTCTTTTGCAGGGTGCATTGCTCAAGTTGCAAGAGAAATGCATGGTGCAAAAGAGTTCCCGCCACCCGTATGCAAATTAGTTCCCCGCTATTGGCTAGCTTTAAATTATTTCCCCCTGGCCGCTCACCGTTTGGGGCTAACAATTGGCCTGTTAGCCGTATAAGAGGCTTGAGCAGTTTCCGCCCAAGCCGAAGAGGACTCCACATCCATCTCGTGGGGACTCTGGATACACGACAGGGTAATAGAGACCCTGTGTGAGATTCAGAGGAGCTTGGCGACCTGATCCATCGCCCACCTCTTCCCGTCTTCGAGCGGAAAGAATTTATAAGACGTATCTACGAGTCCGATTTTGGTGTCGCGCTCACCCAGAGCATCCGGAGCTCTGTTCCGTGGAGCTTAGCAAACTCCACGTGACCGTCCGTGTTGTCTGTGTCTGTAACCGCAACTCAAGCAAGTTTTCCAGCCTACACCACTACCATCTCTGGTGTAAGTAAAACAATCTTTAAATCTACCGTTAAGCGTCTGTGCCTAATTCCAGCTCATCGCCCTCCCTCTCCGATCCAGCGTGCCCGGGCTGCTGGCCACAGCCCGCGTGCAGCACGGAAAAGGGCCCGGGTAGCTCCCGGCCCGCACATACATGTGCGTTTTATCGCACTTAATTACTCTGCTGTAAGACAGTCCTGTCACCAACTGTACTATCTTACAGCAAAGTTAATTAATTTACTGTGCCTCTAATAATGACATGTGTAGACAGTGACACTTTACTGTGGGGCTAATTAGTCAACTCAGCAGTAAAGTACACATATAGATGCATCCTGTGTGTGTACATGACAAACCACCACTTACTAAAGTTTTACACATTTGTTTGCAGATTCACCTTCTCTGCATACTAAATCTCCTTCCACTTGTCACATTATTTTGGGTACACATGCTAGAGCATTTGCAGGGTAAGATATACAGATGCTCATTCCCATTAAGAAGCTAGGCATTTTACATAAATACAATGACTCCTATATACTATTTTTATGAGAAATAAGTGATTTTAAAAACAATTAAAGTTTAGTTTTTTGGAAGCTGCTAGATGGATAACCACGTAAGAGACTCAATTCAGCAGAACAGCATTTGCACACATGCACAAATTGGCCCCTATTCATCATTAAGTATGCATTTAAAGTTAACCTTGTACCTAAGTGCTTTGCTGAATCAAAGATGGCTTGCCAAGTCAGAGAACAGAAAAGAAGTTGCCATTCAATGCCCCACTAAACACACCTGAAATACATCCTAGAAATTCTGTTCCCGGTGAGACTATTTCAGTATACAAATTCTTTCTTCCATGACCTCTCTGTTGAGGCTGCCAAGTAAGACTTTTACTGACAACTACAATAGAGCTTTTTCAAACTGAAAGTCCTGTCCACTAAGAACTGAGCTAAGACCACAAAGTCAGTGTTCAGGTCTTTAACAAATACTTACCATTATGAAAATAAATCAATGAGGAACAATTGCTGCTTCCTAGGTTTTGCCAGATGTTGTAAGAACTTGATAGTTAAAAATGATGCTTCTTATTACTGTTCCAGGACAGGCCCATTAAGTAACTGATGTCAAGCCGATTTACTTCAACAAGCTACAATCAATACCTTCTAATGACAAGTTGCTGTCATACGTGAACCAAGTCAGTGGCTTCAGTCCATTTTCTAGTGAACACATATCCACATCACAATTCCCCAATCACACATGGCATCCTTCTCAACAAAGCATCTATGGACGTAACAGGCTTGAAAAGTTAATTACCTTTTGTGCCTAAATGCTATGAGTGCCTTCAGGCTATGCTTGAAGCAGAGTAGAAGGGCAGTATGAAGTAGCTTTGCTTTAAAATGATTGTTCTCTAATATTATCTTGCAGAAAGATGCGTTTTATGTCTTTATACTGAGAGAACAGATGATAAATTCTCTCTGAACAGAACCATCAGGAATTAGTATGTATAATAATAAAAGATCCTTGTGTCCATTAATATAAGAATTTTCTACTACAAATATGACAAATTGCTTGTCTAGTCTTCCCTTCCATGCTTTTCCAGTTTGTGGCAACATTTACTGCACTAGCCATAGACTGAAGTTGGCACTAAAGTTGAAAGAGCGAAGGGACTTAATGCCTGTGCACAAAGACAGGAACAGACTCCCTAACAAAATGAAGTAACACTGGTAGATCTAAAAGGTGCAGTTTATGGTAGTGTAATTTCTGAAAATAGTTGATGATCAGTAGTGTAACTAGGGGTGGATCAGAACAGACACAAGGGTGCTGGAATTGTTGTGTTTGGGGGCTGTGCTTGGCAGGGAAGGAGTGAGGCTGATGAAGAGATTCTGCCCCTGCTCCCCATGGTGGGAGTCTCTGATGTCTCGGTGAGCTGCCCCCACAACCTCCATTCTCCTGTGCTCAGCACAATCCTGCCCCAGCCCTCATCCAGCTCTGCCAAGGGTGCTGCAATAGCTAGACACACCTGTTTTGTGACACAAAAGAGGCAGGGAAGCAAATGCAGAAGTCAGACCTAATGTGTCATATACAGACTGCGAGTGTGTGCGACAGCAAGCAAAAGAGCACAAGTGAACAAGAAGGGCAGCATGGATCATGGAAGTAGGAAATGGGAATCATACAATGATGATTACTTGCTCCCCTCTCCTTCTACTCCCTTCATTAAATGATGGCTGCTTTAAACACAAATTAACATATCATCAGTAAGCTCTGCAGGATTTCAAAGGGTAGGAAATTTGATACTGCAAAATACCTGCATAAAAACATAATTTTCCAGTCACATAATTGATAAAGAGCTCACAATGTGTCTATCCTGGAGACAAGGAGGGAGGGGAGAATCCCAAGAACAAAAAGGCCTTTTCCCTACTTATTGTAAACACCAAACTTGAGGAGCATGTAGCAGAACAGACCTGTAGCTCAAAAGAGACAGCACCCAGCTGCTCCAGCTCCCAGACATTCATCATGTCCACTGCAGATGAGGAATCTGATAGCACAGGTCTAAAAATCCTTGAGTAACAGTTTTCCTTCTGCTTTGGCTTTTTGTTAAATCAAAATGATAAAATGAGAAAGTTGAGCAGATGTCATCTGAATAACCGGGTTTTTTTTTAGAAGAAGTTTTAGAGGGCAGAGATGGGACGAGAGCCTGTAAATGTAATGTCAAGCTTTCACACATTCATTCAAATCAAAAGTTTCACTCAAGTCAATAGGGCCAATCACATCACTGTTTTAGTTTACATTTTTCCTCTGAGGAAAAAAAGTATTTTAAAACAAAAGTTTCTTTGCACTCTGGTCTACAATAGGATTTCACATGCTTACAGCCTTTTTTAAACAAAGTGCCAAAAAAATTACTTGCAACAACCTCAAAGCAACTCTTTTAAAATGTGTCCCACAAAGGGAAATATATTTCAAGGTGTGCTTTGTTAATAGTCTACTTTGACATTTAATTTGTTTTTCCTTCCCCCCCACCCTTCAAATATTAATACCAGATGGAAGTGATAGGTCCATCTACACATTAACAGTGCATTTTTGTGTGGATTTTTAAGCAAGTTAATCAACATACACCCACAATTTGCCGCTCAAAAACAGTTTTGACTTCACAAACAAGATTTTCATCACAAAAATCAGGAAACTCTGCTGTTATACACTATGATGGGAAGTCTAGAATAGCATCACAAACAGAAGGAGAGGATGCTAGTATAAGCATCACCTAACAAACGGCTAAATCCACACCATGAAAACTGGACTTTTATCAAAATTGAGTGTACGTACTTGCCATGAGTCAGCCCTAGCCTGATCTCTGTCTCCCATTATTTGTAAGTGCAAGAGAAGGAGCATTTGGTCCTATGTTGGCTAGGATTGTTAAGACCTCTCTTGGAGACTGTCAGCTTTCCTCCAACAAGCAGTCATTCAAACATTTATCACAAGTCACCTGTTGATATAAATTGGTCAGAAGTTTCAATATCACTGACCACAGGTTTTATTAACACCTAGTAGAGTTTAGTGATTTAATCTCTAGAAAGTTACGTTCTGTTTTCCCCAAGTCATCTTCCCTATCGTGTTCAGTGAAGAAACAGAACGTGCCCGTTCCAAACAGTGATCCAGGGAATTCTAAAAGATTTGCAGGAAGCCTTTTCCAGGTCAAGTAGAAGGCAGGGTCAATTTGCACCTTTAGACTAATCAAAGTAG